TCTCTCTCTCTCTCTCTCTCTCTCTCTCTCTCTCTCTCTCTCTCTCTCTCTCTCTCTCTCTCTCTCTCTCTCTCTCTCCCCCCCTCTCTCTCTCACTCTCTTTCTCACGTTGTTTCTCCTTCCCTCTCTCTTTCCCTCCTCTCTTTCTCCCCCCCTCTCTCTCTCTCTCTTCATCTTACACGTTCTTCCTTCCACCACTTGGCATATAACTAACCCTTCACCACTCACTTGTTACATTGCCAGGGAATGAACGGTGGAAAAAAATTGTCCTCACTTGGCGGAGAAAGTGGGCAAGGGTGGGGCTGCCGGTCCCTTGTGCCGCCAAGAAGGAAAGAAAGGAAAGGCACATGAGCAATTAAGTGGGACCAAGTCTGGAAAGAGGACTAGGTCAAGTTGGTAATTGAAGCAAGGTCAGTTTGACTCGACCATTTCCCCGACTGCATGACTATGAGAAGAGGAATGACTGATTGAGCAAAAGGAAGAAGAACAATGAGAAGCCAAAGAAAACGAAAGATTAGGTATGCGGGAAGGGCTATATGTTGACCCCAATGGGGGATTGTATTGGTTTTTGCTTTCATGTGGGATTGTGCAGGTCAGTAAAGTCTTGGGTTGTCTTGAGCGGGACCGGGCCGGGAGAAAATTGGGCGGCAAAGGAAAAGGGGAAGAGGGAGCGAAGGGGCTACGGGCCCTTAGTGTAAAACCGGACCATGAGGGAGACCTTTGTGCTTAAGACTTGGAATGTGAAACAAAAGAAAGGGATGAGGCTTGTTGCTGATCGGACTGTGAAGTAGCCTGTGAATACATGTGAAGGTCCCGAAAGGACTAAGGGGCCTGCTCCAATGACGAAGGATGAAATATATGAGACACGAGGAGTGCGTAAAGACGAGGGGGAAGACGGCGTTCCCGCACCCCGATGACACCAAGGATTGTTGTGCTTAGGGAAATGGTGTGTGGCCTAAGGATGACGCTTAGCCTGCGCACAAGAGAAAAAAAACTCCCAAAAAAAACATGGACTGCCTGCATATTGGAAGGAGCATTTGCTTGAGAACACAACCAAGAATCAAAAAAAAAAAAAATCAGCGTTTGCAGAATGACCAGCGAGACTACCAACCAGCGTGAGGGCTGAGCTACATCCCCAATGTCAAAGCTCTCTCGCGCAATGGCCCACCCCCATCCATCTCAAAGCACTAGGTGGGGGTGACCCTGGGACGAACGGCCCACGCCCTGAGCATGAGCGTGGGTGGGCCGAGACAAATGGGACCCGCAGTGGGGTCGACCAAGGCTCGAAAGTCTACCGGGGTTTGGCCCTACACCGACTACGTGCGAGGCCTCATCGGTACACTACACCGTGGCTAGCTGGATGGGACTGACCGAGCGAGGCCGGGTGGAGGCTGAGATCGACGTTGACAAGAAATGTCAGCATAGAGCCCATCGGGGGCGGCATGGTATGGACACCGTGCGGAGGTGTGTCCATCCTGGCGGCAACGAATGCAACTGCGACGGGCCTCGAGGGCGGGGCGCTCCTCAGGTAATAGGGCTTCGCGAGGAAGGACGAAACCGTGTGCAAGGTCTATCTCAGGGACAACGAACGTGCAGGCGCTAGCCTGTGCAGGTCAACTACGAGCACGACCCATGACGATCATCACCATTCGCAAGCAGTCGGCCATCGGGACTGTCGTCATCCAAGTGGTACTGGATGACATCCCGAAGCTCAAGGTCCTCGAGGGCGTCCCCAAGGGCAGGGTCAAACTCGGTTGAGATGTCCTTGTCGTACTTGAGAGAACTATAGTGCCGAGAGAATGGCGCTCTAGGACGAGCTGGTCGGTTAAAAAGGCTGGCAAAAGAGGAATGGCCTCGAGCAGTGTCGTGTGACTAGGTGGTGGCGGCGGGTCGCAAAGAGGACGGAGCGTCGGAAACGTCTATGAGGTGACTGTGCGGGAGATTGATGAGAAACCTGTTGGTCAAAAGACCCTCTGGTAGGAGCGTCTCATCGCAAATGAGGCGGGCGTCCTGAAACATCCGAATGTGACGCTCCAGATCTGTCAGTGCAGAGGACCCGGGCCATCAGGTCTAAGTGACCCTATCTAGGGCGTCGGTCGCGTTGTGCCAAACATTATACCAGTCATGAAGGAAGGCAGTGAAGTCTGCGAAAGTGGGAGCCTCACCTATGCGAGTACGATGCGTATAATAGGTCGCTCATGTGGCGAAAGCGCCGCCTCGCAATTTAGATTCGAGCAGAGAGCACCACGACTCCTTACTAGTGTTTGTTAATGTCAGTGCACATGTGGCGGCCTGCAACCAATGCGACACACAAAGTATGCCATCGTAGTCGGGTATATCCGACAGGCGCACAATGGGGGGACCGTTGCGCTGACAACGAGGGGAGAAAGGCTGATGGGCCCACACTACGGCGGCAAATGTCGAGGCCGGTGCAGGGGTTTAAGTGGGCAGGCTATGGGTCGTGGCTGCTGGTGGAAGGTTTAACAGAGGTGGAGGCAACGACCGCAGACAACTGTGACTAGGTGGCGTGATAGGAGGGTAGAGGTGGAGGAGCAGGTTGAGGGAAACGAGTCTGCAAGACGAAGTGGAAGGGCCAGTAAAGGAAGATGAAGGGTGAGCAGCCTGTGAAGGGTGATGCTGTCTCAAGGTGAGTATTTCCGCCTTGAGCTGCGCGACGGTGGCCTGTAAGGTAGCCACTCGCTGGGTGTGTGGGGTCGGAGGTGGAGGAGTCGGAGAGGGTAACGAACTGTAGGGAACCCTAAGGTGAGAGTGAGGGGATAAGGGGAGGAGAAAGGACTCCGGGTCGTAATGCAGTGACCGATGCCGGAAGCTAGTAAGCAACACCGAGATGAGTAGATAAAACTGGCCAAATACCGGTAATCAAGGAAATAAAATAACAACCATGGAGGTGAAACGGTATTCACCAGTTTGCAATAGCCGATGCAGATCCAGGGCTTGATACCTAGTCCTCACCTTACCTATGAACAGTATCCGTGTCAACCCCTAGAGTTGAACCCGTGAACTGTGTATTCATAACAGTTGGTAGACTGTCGTAGGGTCCGTAGGCAGTAGGGGTTTGATCCGTAGACCTGTCGGATAGGAGTCCTAGTAGGGTCTAGCGGTCGTAGCTGCTACAGTCCAGAAAGGTCAAGGTCGTAGCTGCTATAGTATCGAAAGGCCAAGTCTACGGCCTTCCGGAAGGTCCTAGCAGTGGGCTTTATAAGTTTCTCACGTTTAGGCTGAGGCAAGTGGGCAAGTGGTGGAGTCTACCCGTGCTGAGTCATCAGTCCCAGTCCCAGTCAGTCCTAGTCCAGTCAAGCAAGTACCGCATGGGACTGTGTGCACCACGGGCATGGGCAAGGGCCAGACCAATGAGCTACAAAAGTATAAATCAAAGGGCAGCGCCTAGTCATTCATTCATTCCTGCATAAGCCATGCAGAAGCGCTGCCACAAGGACTTGTGCAAGGTGGTCTGCAGTGAGCCCGAGGACGAAGTGGGCGAGAGAGAAGAAGCTTCGCCATATCAATAGGGTAGCAGCGGCCATAGCCGCCATAGCTGTAGATGGTGTGCAGTGTATGTGTGTACAGAGTAACGCGTGCGGGAAATCCTGGGTGATCCTGTGTGTGCGAACAGAGAGTTGTGTGGGCGATGTGTCGCCACAGCGATTGAAGTGAACTTGTATCTGAACTATGTTCTCGGCTACCATATCTTTGAGTTCTAAGTGGGCGCTTGTCGCTAGTTTGCTGCGCACCTGTTTGCATGCATGAGAAGTGTGAAAGATAGTGAGTCCGATTGCATTGGTATCAGAGATGGTACCCTCTATTCCACGCGCCATCGCCATAGCAGAGGCGCCAGTGGAGAAGAAGTCCACCACAGCGGACCCGCGAAGTGGAGACGATGCCTCGCGACCTGCAAGAAGACAACGGAGAGAGAGAGAGAGAGAGAGAGAGAGAGAGAGAGAGAGAGAGAGAGAGAGAGAGAGAGAGAGAGAGAGAGAGAGAGAGAGA